GCGGTTCTGGACATGTGCCTAGGGCTACATTATCTTCAAAAAGAGACTGGATGCACACCTTGCTGGCGTTATTTGACCCGTCTTTCCTGCCCAGAGCAGGGGGGCTGGACCCAGTTATCTCACAAGGTTCCTAAACTTCTGTGAATCTGTTGCTATTGTGACACAATTGGGGGATTTGGTAGATGCAGAGTGGGAGCAAGGAGTGCTTCACAGGTACCCTCCCACGCATGGCACAGAGGTGGTGCTGATATGGTAGAGGCCTTGAGAATGGTTGGTACGATTCATTTTGCAGAAAGAAAGAAAGAATAAGACATCTACAATATTTGAGAAGGTTCCCCAATTAGTTTTCAACAGGCTTGGTGATATAGGGTCTGCGTGGTAAAGGAGATCTACTAAGACAGAGCAAGGGAAGGCAGTCTTATAACAGGCAGAATACTCACAACTCATACAATTGCACCCCCCCCCCCCCAAAAAAAAAAAAAAAAAAAAAAAGAACAGATTCTTTAGGGTAAAAAACATCTTGCAACTACCTGGGCCAGATCAAGAGTTTGTGATAGTGAGGAGCAAGTAACCTCCTCCTGCACTATGACATTGAAACAGATGGGTCAGGCAAAGGGTTGCTATCCTGATGTTTGACGGCAAGATATGTCAGCAAGTTACACCTTGTAGGGAGGTGTCTGATTGCTAGATGGAGATACTACCCAAGACAATGAGTGGTACCATGTATATAAAGTCTCAAACAGGCACCTGAATTACTTAAGGCTGGATGCAATAGAAGGCTTGTTAACCAAAACCTATAAATTCAGAGGTGTTTGTCACCTGCCCTCACAAAATGACAGACTCACAGATGAATAGATTTCAAAGCAAAAGGGACTGTTACTAGTACTGAGAAGAATTGTCAATCAGGAAAAAATGCATGGTGCTACACCTTGGAAAGAATAATTAAAAAAAACCCCCAAAACGTGTGTGAAACACCTGACTAGGCAACAGCACTACGGAAAAGCACTTGGGAGTCTTTGTAGACTACAGACTCAATGCAAGTCTGCAGATGCAGCCGCACAAATGGTGAATGCTGTTTTGAGATGCATTAACAGAAGCATTAAGTGTAAGACATGAGTGACGATAGTGCCTCTACTCAGCACTGGTTAGGCCTCATCTGGAATAGTGTGTGCAGTTCTGAGCTCCACATTTTAAAGAGGACATGGAGATATCAGAGAGGATCCAGAGGTAGGCAACAAAGATGATAAAGGGCTTGGAAGGCAAGTCATATGAGGAGAGGCTGAATGAGCTAGGAATGTTCAGCTTGTGGAAAAGGTGCTTATGAGGGGACATGATACCAGTCTTCAAATATCTGAAGGGCTAACATAAAGAAGAGGGAAAGCATGCCCCCCCCCCCCTTTCTGCTACACGTGTCAGTATTTTTAAGCCTTTTTCAGAGGTATTCAGGCTGGGGGGACTTGGACTGGAGTGTACCAGTGCTCCTGCTGGGACCAAAGCCAGAGGTTCCTGGCTTGAGGGTCTTACCAATTACCATATCTAGGGTCAGGATCGAATTTTACCCCGTAGTCAGATTGGTATAGACTGTGGGGGGGTTTGCCTTCTTCTGTAGTGGAGGACATGGCCTTTCACCCGGGATCTCTTGAGCATATATTGACAATATTTCATAGAAGCAGGACATTATCTGCCATGGCTCCCCTGCTTTATCTGTGGCAGGTTAAGGTGTTAGGTCTGTGTTGTGTCAGGGTTGATGGTAGTCTTATGTAGAGTTTAGATTACAGATCATATGGGATGGTTTGATCCTGCCTCAGGCACTGGGCTGAACTGGATGACCTCCAGAGGTCCCTTCCAGCCTACCACTCTATGATTCTATGCTCTCTCTCCTCTGTAATCACTGCTTCATATATCAAATATTACCTCTTCCTATCTTCATTGCTGGTGGGTGGTATTATGCTGGGTAAACCTACTAAAAAAACCTTCAAACACAAGCTTTCCCATAGGAAAATGTAGTTTCAATGTCAACATTTTCTGTGGGGAAATCTCAGTTTTTAACATTATTTTCCCCAGTCAAAAATTTTAAATATCATTTCAAAATGTCAAATTGTCTCATTTTAAATTAAAAATATGCTTGCTTTTCACGTTTCAGATTCTAAACCATTCAGGGTTTTCTTTATTCAATTCAATTTTTTGGCAATTTCACTTTTGGAAAATAAATTTCCAAATGTTGATACTTCCTATAAGAGAAAATTCTTAATTCCTGATCCGCCCTTGTTTACAAAAACTAACACTGGCAAATAATTGCCTTTCATGACTTAAGTATCACTTGCCAAACTATCAAAACAGACTTAATATAAAGCTTCCTGAAGCCAATGGAGCCTTTCTATTGGCTACTGTGAACACCAGATCAGTCCCAGTGAACACCATTATCTGATCATCTTTGCTCAACAGCTGAGACTAGAGACTGGGCTCTCCTCCTTCCTCAGCTGCAGAAGTCACTTTCAGTTTTCACTTTAATTGTAACGTAAGGAAGGGAAGGGAATTTAAAATCTTATACTCCTAATGTGTATAGACTAAGTCAGTGACTAAACATTAACCCAGATATTTGATAGATCTTAAGTATAATTTTATTGGAAACTTAAGTCCACAGTTCTTCTAGTTGTGAAAATACCCTTCCACATAAGAATCGATTTAATGATACCTTTTGTAGTCTTCAAGCAGGAAGAGATATGAACTGATTCATCTCACAATGAGAACTCCAGATCTTAAAAATGACAATTGAGGTGTCAGCCTTTTAGCAGAAATACCTGGCTATTCTCAAATTGTATAGAATTTGAGATTGAGGCAGAATTTATATGGAGTATTACATCGTAACCCACAAACCACATGCCTGTTGGCTTGTACTGTCCGCCTAATTTAAACTACCAGAAATTGCTTAAAATCTTCCTTGCCTGGCTGACTGAAAACTGTTTCCCATATTAAAAATATCTTCAGTAGAATTCCTGCAATGTGAAAGATAATCCTTCTCAAAAATAGATGGCAAAAGTCATTCCAGCTTGTAGGAGAATGGACAATGGAAGAATATGGCCATGTGCTCACTCAGGCAAAATAGGATATGGGTATCTCCATGGGGGGAGGGGCGGAAACACAACAACAAAACCTCTCTCTGGGTGTCCCCCCCACCATTACCAATCATCCTGCTAAAGGGCTGGTGAATGACAGCTATTTATTATTTATATTATGGTGGCACATAAAAGTGTCCCAGCCAGGACCAAGATCCCAGTTCGCTAGGTATATGTAAGGAAGCCCTTGCCACAACAGCAAACAAGTATGGTTAACCCCATTCTAGAGGTGGGCAATTAGGAATTAAATGATTTGCCTAACATCATACAGAAAGCCTATGGCAGTTGGGATTTAAGCCAAGTTCTCCTTTATGGCAAGACCATCCTTTCTGTCTGGAGCAAACAGGTTCAATGCTTGGGCTGGTATATATGTTTATGATGGTATTGAAAAGCTGGTGCAGAAGATGTAGAAGGAAATAGAAAAAAATCTGCATACAGGCCCAGTTATCTAAAGAAAGGAAAAAGATGGCACAGACATCTTCCTCCCCAGAGTCTATAGAGGGGATATATCAAGTTCCCATGAAAGCTGTGGTGAATGTGGCTCATGAGCTAAAATTTATGAACTGAATGTATCATTTCCAGTCATGTTTCAGGGACACAATTTTAATAGATAATTGAAACTCTGAAATGACCTCTAGATTAGGCATGTGGGGCAAACTTCCTCCCCTGACCCAGGGAGGCTTCACGCTTTGATGCATGGTTAAACAGGCCTAGACTGTCTGTCAGCAATAGCAGTACAGAGCAGCATAAATTTGCAGTCAAAGGTGGAGCCTGCAGAGTTCTCAGTCTCCCTCTGATGGCTCACAATGCACAAAGGTCTCAGTTTTTTTAAATGAAGGCAATATCGTTCAACAATTAAAACTTTAATGGCACAATCTAGGTGTAGAAATGCAAAGCAATCTCAAGTACATTAGGAATTTTTTCAAGTCACAGTGGTAGAGCCTCAACCTAACAGACTCACGTATACAGATTCTCTGTAGATGCTATATGTTTGCTTAACCATACACCTTAATTCAAGCTTGTTATTTTGAAAAGATTGGCAATTGTTGATAGAGAGGAAGGGAAGGATAGTTTCCTGGCAAACAGGG